ATCTTTGTAGTGAGAAAGTTAAAACCCGGGGATGTGGTAGCCTCATGAGCTGAGGGCAGAGGTTCTACCTCACTTGCTTTGCCATCTCCACTTCTTAATGCTTTGACAGGAATTAATGTTTGACACAAAAAGGCCATTAATGAGAGGAGAGGCCGAGAAAGCGTAGGTCACTGAGACCATCGGCTAAAGGAGAATCTGGGGCCAGGACATTTGGCAAGTTGTCTTTTGTGCTTAATAACTAAAGCTTATATTTGGATGATCAGTTGATTGGGCTATAAAATCCACCACATCTCTGGAATCCAGGTCAGTCTGTTCTTACTAGCTAAGAAAGTGAGGCAGAAATGCACATGACTGGCTTGCTGATAAGCCTGAAGCAGGGGAAAGGCGGCGGCTTAAATGATTTGAAAAGGAGCTGGAAGGGATCTTGGGTCTCATCGGATTTAACCACTGCTAACCATTTAGTCATTCTGCAGCCCTCCTCCTTCCAAGTCTTTTATAGCTTCAGTGTCTGTAGGTCCAAAATGACATGCTGGTGGGTGGAAATTTTGCTCTCTCCGGATTAAATCTGTGTAAGCACTGAGGTCTACAGAAAAGCAGTTGAGCTTAGAGAGGCAAGGCCCACCCAGCACTCAAGGCTTCAGGTTACAAAAGAATTATACTTCCCCTGCCCACCTGCAAACAGCAAGGAGGTCCAAGCTGAACAGGTTTTCTGAAGCCTGGGAGAACAATGTGTGCTGTTCAATTCCATCCTAACAGCCACTGAGAGTTAGGAAGCTGTGTGGTCAAAAGATGAGGTCTGCTTCACAGTGCTGAGCTCTCAGAGCCTTCCTGGCCCCACGACCTGGGAGGTGTGTTAGACAAAAGCATTTCCTAGGAGAATTCCCCTGGAAGGATTCAGCCAATGGAAACGAGCCTTCGGAGTAGCCTGATCTCATTGGAGACAAGTGAACATACGTGTGCACATGCCTATGTGAATGAATCTTCCCACTCACAGACCTGTGGTTTCCTAGAAACAGAGGCTGGGAGAGCACAAAGCTTAACAAACACCCTGTTAGGATCTCTCGTTTATTTTCAGGCGCCTCTCAGCATGATGCTGAGAGGAAAACCCAGGAAAAAGGCTCACCCACACAACAAGACTCCTCACTAAGCACTCAGCTTGATCAAAAACCATAGTCTGCAGAAACGCACAGCACAGAGGCACAGAGCACCCCCAAATAACTGGTCTTTTTCTGTGCAATAACTTTAGGGAAGTCTCAGCCATTCCAGAGAAGTCCAGAAAGACACTCAGAAGCCACTTCTATTACCCAGCAGACCTCCTTGTCTAACACATGGATGTCAAGCCAGTTCCTGACCCTCTCTGATCTCTAGCACTCTGGCAATCACTCGCAGGGGCTTATAGTCTCCTTAGAGAAGGAAGTTCCAGGACAGACCTGGGAGAGCAGCTGAGAGGCTACAGCAAGGAAGACTTTGATCAGTTGGTGGCAGTAGAGATAGAGGAGAAGTTGCTGGGTTCTGGTTGTATTTCAAGAAGAGAACCAATGAGATTTCAAAACAGATTAGAGGTGGGAAGTAAGAGTCAACAATGACGCCAAGGTTTTTGGTCCAAGCAAGCAGAAAGATGGAGTTCTGAAGTTCTCATGCTGAACTGGAGACGGATGGTGGAGAAATATTTTCAGGAGAAAACAGGAGTTGAACTTTTAATGAACTGTGGCTTAAAAGAAAAACTAAAAAGTCAGATGTGGTGGTACACACCTTTGATCCCAGCACTGGTCAGGCAGAAGCGGAGGCATGTGAATGTCTGTGAGTTCAATTCCAGCCTGGAACACATAGCAAGTTCCAGAGTAGTCAGGGATATACAGAGAGTCGAGGTGGGAAAAGAACATATTTATGTTTAAGATTCCTGGAAGTAGACCTATTTCAAATGATGAGACACAGGGTTCGAGACCCTGAGGTAAAATCACTCATGGTGATTTAAGGATTTTGAGCTTAGGACTTTGAAAGGTCATTGATCTCTCGGGGTGGTCCTCAAAGGAGGCTTGGGTGGGATGAAGAGGCAGAGTTGAAGCACAAATGGTCACACTAGTGGTAGTTTGAGGTGTGAAGAATTTGAATTGATTAACTCAAACATTAGAAATGGGCAAAATAGCAAATGGATCAGATGTGTGGGACCACAACCACACAATATGATAAAGTTGGACTTTTGCACGACATAGGTTTATAACCCCATTATAACATAGATCAAAAGCAGTGGCCTGAAGGAGAAACTCAACAAGTTCTCAAAGTTGGAATCTTTATTGTTTCACAGCAGAGCAGAGAATGACCCCTATATTTGTTTTTAGGTAAGCTCAGTGACAGGGTTGGAGGGATAGCTCAGTGATTAAGACCATGTACTACTCACTGCCATTCCAGAGGTTCAATTCCCAGTACCCACATGGTTCACAAAGCATCTGTAACTCCAGTTCCAGGGAATCTAACATCTGCTTCTGCCTTCTGAGGGCACCAGACAGACACACATGAAGGCAAAACACCCATACATGTTAAATTAAACAGAATGAACCTACTCCATGCTAGCTAGCATTCACATCGACTCAGGAGGCATCTTATAAGGCAGGTCCCATGATGCTGCAAGGGAAGTTGCCTTCTAGTGTATCCATAGGGCACCAGGATGTACCCTCCCCTGCTCTCCCCAACCTTGAACCATGTTTCCAAATTTAGAAACTCCAAGTCCCCTAGCTCAGAGGCCAATGTCAGAGTTGGAGGATGTCATAAGCATCAGAGTCCTGGAGTGACCATACAGGATTAAACAAGTTCTGGGGATGTTTATTTACCAGCACTGAGACTTTATTGGGGAACAGAAAAATTGACAAAGTAAATTGAGAACGCCCTTGCCTCCTATTTCCAGGCGACAAATGAAGAGGGAAAGTGAGATCGTTATATAATCCTTTAAAAAAGAGAGATTGTTATATAATCTTTTTTTTTTTTAAAAAAAAAAGAAAGTCATCCAGTCTAGACTTTTAACTCTTCATACTTAGAACACAAGTCTTATCACTGTAATTAAGTATTTAAATATTTAAATCTCCTGACTTTGTGAAAACTTCTGCATGTTTGTGGGTGAATGAAAACTATACAGTTCTGTAGAATTCACCATTTAGGTCAATAGAAAAGTAAGATGACATGGTGATTGAGTGTCTTCCACCATGGCAAAGACGGTCCCCAGACAAGCCATTCACCTGCTGGATTGGAGCTGATTGGTATTGAAGTGCCTTCCCAGGTGTTCACTCGGCCAAACAAAGCAGGCTAATCATCTCCTATTCACTTTTTATGGAGATATTGCCAGTAAAACTTCTCAAGAAAAATACCAAAAAATACACATCTGGGTCCGTAACATGTTTATATGAACAATAGGTTCGCACAAGTGCTTGTGATGTGAACACTAGAAAATGCCTATTTCTTCAAAAATAACTAAATTGGGCTCCTCTTCACTAAGTCAGAAAGGGGAAGAATTCCAAATCAGGATTTGACCGAGTTGTGGTGTTCAAATCAAGTAGACACCGTGAAGAGCAGAGACACGGGGCTACCTGTCAGTGATGTAGACAGAGCAGATGTGTGTCTATGAGGCCCTGGCCCGTGCGCTGTAAAGAAGGGGACATCAGATAGTCATGGCTTATATGCGGGAGTCTGGGAGAGGCAAATGGGAAAGGGCCTCAAGTCTTAGTCTACAGAAGCTAACCCACTAGTGTTGCCACAGAGAAAGCCTCATTATTTAGCCCTTCGGTTAAATAATTTGTGTCCTGAACCTATGCTGGTGCCCAGAGTTTATCTGACAGCCTGATTAGCCACACATCCCCTCTAGTCTTCTGCTGCCTGCTAACTTCATTTTGCTCTCCCCCTGGGAAAGATGCTGCCTTCATTCCCTGCCTCCTCTTTTCAGTCAAACAAGGAAAGAAGCAAACTGCATGTCTAATAAATGGTGTATGTGAAAACCCCCAGCCTCTCTCTGATAGTAAATTCCCTCACAGCTCAATTCTGTGAGCTCCACCCTGTCCCTGCCCCTGTGTACCTGCACTGACATGACATTTACATATGCTGACACGTTCCTTAACGGCCCTAAAGTTCACTGTCACCTCTTCTCCAGTGTCCCCTGGGTGTCGGTGGTCAGCCTTCCTTTAAAACTGAGTTATATAAGCAAGAGGTACAAGAATTTGGGTTAAAAAAAAAAGCCAGTGGGGCTAGAGAGATGGCTCAGCAGTTAAGAGCACTTGCTGCTCTTGCAGAGGACCAGGGATCAGTTTCCAGCACCCTCTTGGTCAGCTCACAACTGTCTGTAGCTCCAGTTCTAAGGAATCCGACACCTTCCTTCATCCTCCATTGGCACTAGGCAAACACGTGATACACATGTGGGCAAAACATTCAGACACATAAAATAAAATAAAAATAAAATAAAATGCTTAGGTCTTTTTTTTTTAATTAACCATGATGATATACATCTAAAATCCCAACACAGGGGTGGTAGAGACAAAAGGGTCAACAGTTAGTTCCAGGGCATCATAGGAAGTTCAAGGCCAGCCTGGGCTACATTAGGCCCCATCTCAAAAAAGCCAAAACAGTATAAAACAGAACAGGACTTAGTTATGTTATATTATGCTATGTTATGTTTGGTTTGGTTTTTCAAGACAGAGTTTCTCTATGTGGCCTTGGCTGTCCTGGAACTCACTCTATACACCAGGCTGGCCTCAAACTCTCAGAAATCTATTTGCCTCTGCCTCCCGAGTGCTGGGCTCTAAGGTGTGCACCACCACTTCCTGGCCTGGAATTAGTTGTTTTAAATTAATATAAATAAACCATAAGTTTTTCAGAGAGCAGCAAAGAGTCTCTTCCCGGTGATTCCTCGTTCTAGGGCTGCAGTGGGGATTGTTCCGGGAAGGAAGTCTCTGGAAAGTCTTCAACGGTGTCACACAGGGGTGCAGCTGTGTCATTCATTCTTCCTGTTTCCCACCTAGGATTGTGAAGATGTCCAGCCCCAATCTGAACATTGTGACCTTGCTGGGCAGTTGTCTGACCTACATCAGCGCTTACCTTTTTGGGATTCAAGATGCTCTTGTGGGGAGTTCAGTGGAAGCTCTCATTCAGGTAGGTGACACTGGGATTTTGTTTTGGACACCATGTTGAACTTTGACAATGTTTCCTGCTCACAGCTCTTCCTGAGACTGGTAGTTCTGTAACCAGGTTACGGACATATTCCCTGAGACCCACTTGCTGCCCTGTGTCCTCTGTGGGCCTGAGACTTTGCAGATGAATGAAGGTTCCGCTAGTAACTCTTGCTTCTGTCCTCTCTCACCTGCAGACAAGACTTTCCTTGCTGTGCATTGGGACGTCCCTGGTGTTTGGCCCTATTCTGGGGAAGAGCTGGCGACTCTACAAAGTGTTTACCCAGAGAGTACCGGACAAGAGAGTGGTAAGTTGGCAGCCAGTACACGATGCTGGGTCGCACCAGGAACTCCACTGTGGCTTGGAGCTGGGGAAGTTAGTGTAGATCTCTGGGTTGACTGTAGCATGCCTGAGGTTCTTGCTCCTTGGTTCAGTCCTTACTCGTGGCTGAGAGTGAGTGCTGCCAGGAGCTAGGTCTTTCAACATGGACTGCTTTAGGTACATACACCCCCAGGTTCCGTGGGAACCTGTGAGCTGCCTAATACCTGGCATAGTGAGAGGGAAAACAAGGTGCCCAGAGAGACTGACTCTTGGCACAGACTGGGAGCTGCAAGTGAGTGCAGAGAAGCTGTAGCAAGAAGCACAGTTACTTGGAGCACAGAACTCCCTAGAGTTCAGGTCTTTCCCACACGGGCACACTGCACTGAGAGGGACATAGCTAAAGCAGCGAGCAAGAAGATGGACTCGGTGGATAGAATCGACTCTGGAAGCCATGCAGCAGCCAGGTCACCTGCGTGTCCCTGACATCAGCATTTATTATAACCATGTTCTTCCGTTGTATCAAACCCCCTGATATGACTATCCAGACCTCATATACGATCCCGTCCAGCTGCTTCTCTGAAATGACAGGATTTTAAGAACCGAATAATATTGAGTCATGACAAATACTTAGTGAAAGTTCGGCTGTGATTAACCACACGGATGCAGAAAGTTGGCTAAAAGGACAGACTTTATCCCTGTAAACATCTTTTTCAAAAATAGCTCCTTTTTTGAGGCATAATTGACACATAAGAAATCCAAATATGGGCAAGTTGGAGAGAGGTTAAGCACACTGGCTCAGAGGTTAAGCACACTGGCTGCTCTTCCAGAGGTCCTGAGTTCAAGTCCCAGCAACTACATAATGACTTACAACATGCCCCTTTCTGTTGTGTCTGAAGACAGCTACAGTGTACATAAAATAAATGGTGAAAGGAAGGAAGGAAGGAAGGGAGGGAGGGAGGGAGGGAGGGAGGGAGGGAGGGAGGGAAAGAAAGAAAGAAAGAAAGAAAGAAAGAAAGAAAGAAAGAAAGAGAAAGGAAGGAAGGAAGAAATCTAAATATTAAGAGAGTAACATGAACAGGTGGTGGTGGCACACACCTTTAATCTCAGCACTCAGGAGGCAGAGGCCAGACTGGTCTACAGAGTGAGTTCCAAGACAGCCAGATTTATACAGAGGAACCCTGTCTGGAAAAGCAAAGTCAACAACAACAAAACAGTGTGATGTGACACTTGGCAGGGAGATATCAACATCAGGAAGAAGGTTTTCCTGGGGTGGGGCTTAATCTTTGCCCTTGGGGTGTGCTGACCCCTGAGTAAACTTGACTTCATAATTTGTGGTAGTGAGGGCTGCATTCAAACTCCTCCCTGAAGAAAAACAAAAAAACCCCAAACAAAACAAAGAGAAAAGAGATATTAACACATGTATACACTCACAAAACATGAGATCTAGCAAACTCCATCCCCAGATGCTCAACATCCTCGGCTACTCCCCCGCCCATCATTACAGACCCTCCCTATTCCAAGAACACCACTGTTTTGTTTTCGAACATCAAAGATTAGTTTTCACTTTTCAGAGTTTTACATAAATAAAATCATGGGCTGGAGAGATAGCTCAGCAGTTAATGGAGCTGGGTTTACAGCACTCATGTTAGACATGTGCACATACCTGCACATAGATGCACCGAATTTAAAGCTAAAAATAAAACTTAAAAAAAAAACAAATTTTAGACATATGTATTATTTTATTTTATTTTATTTTATTTTATTTTATTTTATTTTATTTTATTTTATTTTATTTTATTTTATGTGTATGAGTGTTTTGCCTACAGTATGTATGTGTCCCAAGAGTGGCTGGGAACAAGGCAGGAAGAAAAGGGCATCAGATCCCTCAGAACTGGAGGTACAGATAGTTGTGAGCCACCCTGTGGATGCTGGGAACTAAACCTCGATCCTCTGCAAGAGGAGCAGGTACTCTAATCACTGAGTTCTTAAGCAGCTCCTAAAAACAAATCTTAAAAAAAAGAGAAAGGTTTCCTGTTGAAGTAATTAATGTAATTAATTAAATTGGCCTCTGGTCAAGCCAACTATCTAAGCTGCAGTGGCTCTGCCTAGCTCAGCCACCATGTTTCTCTGCCAGAGGCCACGTGCACACCTGCAGCTAGAACTGGGCCCGCCAGAAACACCAGCCCTGCCACCCACGAGATGTCAGCGTGGGAGATGACTCAATCTCCCAAGGTGTCTCCTCAAGCCTGGGCATTGCCCAGACCATCCCGGCATCCATGTGGGCCCAGTAGAAAGATGAGTCTCTAATGCTTAAAGATTAATCAAAGGCTTATATATTTGGTAATGATCAGTAACAAGATACCCATACAATCAGAAGTGTAGCCCAATACCCAACCTAGATATAACAACTACCTTTGACTCCTACAGACACGTGAACATCCACCTCCATCTTCTCTCTCTCTCCTCTCCTCTCCTCTCCTCTCCTCTCCTCTCCTCTCCTCTCCTCTCCTCTCCTCTCCTCTCCTCTCCTCTCCTCTCCTCTCCTCTCC